AATCTATCTTATATTTTATACTAATCAGTAGTTACTGGTTTACTAATGAATACACTACTATAATATGATCAGTAGAAAATATTATTGTGAAATAGCACAAAATCTCTGCCACAATAACACATAATAATGCATCCTTTTATTAGTAGAAAAGATTGCCTTTTCCAAAGCAGATAGATCACACATTCCTGACAATCATTCCTTGGCATCAGGAATAATATATTTCCAATTTCTCAATATGATTTTTTTTAGCCCCCCCTCATGCTTGATACAACCATAATTTCTGCTGAACAGTCAGATTCCAAAGCTTTGGTATATAGTTTAACATTACATTAACATCTTTAACATTTAAAGATTTTTCCATAAATCTGTTTACATAAACATTGAGCTTCCAGCAGAGTCAATGGAATTATAAATAACAGTGATGAAGTGATTTGGCTGAAACAGAAAGTTGCTAGAGGGAGAACTCTAGAGATCTGTACAGGAATGGTAATGATATGTCAAAGATTGGAAGGGAAGGGAATGCTATAAACATGTACCCAAGAAAAGGAAGTCATAAATGCTGTAAAAATGTTGAAAAATGGTAAGGCTGCAGGTGTAGATAGCATAACTAGAGTAATGTTAAAATGTGGATCTGATTGGTTTATGGGTGACTGTACAGTTTGTTTAACTGAATGCAGATTGCCTGACTTTTGGAAGAATGCTATTATTGTTCCCCTATGCAGGAATCAGGGATCAGAGGAAAGACAGCAAGAGTGAGAACAAATGCTGCAGAGGAATTAGTTTGTTAAGTGTGCCTGGGAAGGTGTCTGGCAGAATTCTGACTGTAAGAACACAAAAATAGGCTTGAACTATGGAATGTTTTGCATAAATACTGGTGGAAGTAAAGCATGTATGAAGTAAAGGAATGGTTTACTTCATTCCTTTAATGAAGTAAACCATTCCTTTATGGTTCTGCACTGAGCAGGGAATAAGACAATGGTTCTGCACTGAGCAGGGAATAAGTTGTGAATGGTTCTGCACTGAGCAGGGAATAAGACAAGGATGTGCAATGTTTCCTTGATTGTTTAATGTGTTTGTGGATAAATGTAAGAAATGTTTGTGGTGACATTAGAGGTGTGTTGGCTTGGGATGTGAATATATGTGTATTTCTGTATAGAAAGAGTGCTGGGTTGTTGGCTGAGAACTCAAAAGATTTGCTGTGAATGTTAGATAGTATGGGCAATACAACCAGGAGAATGGATCTGAAAATTAATGTGGCAAAGGCCAAGGGAGTGATGTTTGACAGGAAAATAGATTGAATGATTGCAAGTTAACCATCAGTGGTGAAAAACTAGAGCTAGTATATCCAGTTGTGCGTCATTTAAGTTGTTCAAACGTTGGCAGAAAGTTAGTAGGGTAGTATATAGTCTGTTGGGAGGAATTAATGTTTGTCAAAATAAGTAAAAACAGATGTACACTTATATAGATGTGAGAATTGGGTATGACAGGAGAAAAATAAAAGTTGACTGCTATGAGAATGGCATACTTAAAAAATGAAGCTGTTTGGTCATATGGAAAGAAAAAATGATAATCAAATTGCAAAACAAATATATAGAAAAAGACTGCATGGATTGAAAGGGAGGGGAAGAAAAAGTTGTGGCTGGATGTTGTTGAAGAGATGTTCAAAAGGAAAAAGGTGAGGAAAAAGGAAACCATTGTTTCCAAAATTAACTGTCCAGGTACAAATAGGTACCTGCAAGGTTATTATATCCTTTCAGTCTGTCTTTTGAAACGAAAGATTTCCAATTGATACTTTTTTGGGGTAGTTGGGGTATTCATTTCAGGTATACATACGGAAAACCAATGAAAGGAAAGGTCTATTGATTTCTTCTCATTGTTTCGAGCACAGAACACAAAGATAACTAAAATATTGGAGGTGAGTCATATTCAGTTCCTAACAATATACTTATGAATATTTCAGGAAAATTGTGCATCCTGGGTCACCCTCAAAATTTTCTAGTGATTTCTTCTGTGATCTTTCTATTTTCCTTGCTATTTTCTGATCTGGAATAGCTTCTTCCTCTCCCTCATACCATTATTTTGAGCCCTTATCAGAACAAAATTAAGTTTAAAAAGCTTTTTGTACTTTTTACTATTTCTTGCTTTTTTGTCTCAACACCGATATATATCTAGATGCAGTGGCATTTCAGAGTGTTGGAGTCAGGATGATTTGGAGACCATGCCTGATATCTTATTGGCAGGCATTTTAGAAAGAAGCTTATGTAAAGGAACTTTCTTTTCTTTATCTGTTTTAGAAGTATGATATTTTATATTAAATCTTTTTGTACTTTTTAGAAATCTTATTTATAAGTACTTTTTGTACTTTTTAGAAACCTTATTTATAAGATTTAAATTGTAACCTTGGCTTTGACTTGTTGAAACAAGTGCCTACCCATAACAGCCATGGGTTATGCAAGCCAGTTCAATATCTAGAACATTGGTTCTCAACGGGGGTGATACCACCGCCGGGGGGCGGTGGGAGGATGCTGAGGGGCGGTGAACTTGTTTTGGGCGGTAGGGGGGC